GTCCTCTCCCCCCCATAGCCAGTCAGAACACAGAGGTTATTTGCATATGCAGCCTCATTGGCCTCTGCCTCGGAACACAGAGGTTGTTTGCATATGCGACTTGATTGGCTTTTGCCTCTAACATTCTAAACAGTTTTGCTGTTCTGAAGTAAAATGTGTCCAATCTCCAGGTGAGGGCTGGAGATCACTCAGAATTACAACTGCTTTCTGGAAAGCTGAAGAGTGAGGGGGAAATAAAGGTAGGTTGATGATTTCCTGGGAAGGAGATAGGGTTGCCAACTCCAGGTGGGAAAGTCCTGGAGATGCGAGGGATGGAGCCTGGAGAGGGTGAGGTTTCAGGAGGCGTGGGACCTCGGACAGGTACAAAGCCATAGACTCCACCCTCCAAACCAACTATTCCCTTCTGGGGGACCATCGTTGCCAATCTCCAGGCGAGGGCTGGATATCACTCAAAATTACAACTGTTCTTTAGGTAGCAGAGATCAGTTCCTCTGGAGAATGTGGACTCAGGGTCATTATACCCTGCTGAGGTCGCCACAGCAAATTGACACTGAGTGTCCAAGGCCGGGGCACCCGCCCAGAGCCTCTTTCTAGAGGCCGTTGTATTTATTTCCACAACGGGCCTTTTTCCTAGTAATACAATAAAACAAATTTAAAACATTTAAAATGGGCGGTGCAGTAAATTCAGTTCCAGTTTCTGCAGCCAGGAGATAAATGGGCCAACGCTGAGCCAAAGTGATCTCATACAGCAGCAATAGGGAGGCCAGCCAGTAGATGCCTGCTGCCACAACCAAAGGCCTGATGGAACAGCTCCATTTTACTGGCCCTGTGAAACTGTAACAGGTCTCGCAGGGCCCTGATCTCAATTGGGAGCATGTTCCACCAGGCTGGGGCAAGGACCACAAAAGCCCTGGCCCTGGTTGAGGGACAGCCTGGTGGGCACAAAATGTCTGCCAAAATGGGTGCTGCAGCTTTTAGTCACACAGTGAACCTTTTTGTGCTGTGGTGGCAGCTGCTGCTGAAGACGCGTTTTTTAAAAACTGCACAGCCAATCAAATCTCCATTGGCTAACTGGAAGCCTTGCTTGGCAAAAGCCCCACCTGGCTCTGCCCACTTTCTAAGAACACTTGGTGGGCATCAGGAAAGGTGTCGGCGGGGGCGTGGCCAAGCGAGCGTTGGGAATGGACGTGTGTTAACTCGGCTCTGCTCCTCAACCCGCCCTTAACTATACAAATCTCCTTCAAACTCAACTTAGAACTTTAACAAACAATATGGGACGAAACATCAACGGTAAAGCTAAAAAATCGGTACCATTGTCGACTCCGGTGTCCAAATATTTCGCAAAAGAAGGAAACGGCTCCGGGAGTGAACGGGCCCCGAACACAACACCTAAAATGGCCGCCGAGACTTCAATAGAGGACGACGGAGCGGTTTTATCTCGCTACGAATTCCTGCAAACCATCCAAAAACTGGAAGACAACATAGCCAACCAGGTACTTAACGCTATAAAACCTTTGAAAGAAGAATTCCAATCACTAAAAGAAACGCTCGCGGCGGTATCGCAGGCCGCCGAAACGGCCCTGGAAGGCGCCATCACATCGCAACAAGAAGTACAAGACCTAGGAAAGGTGTCGGCACCACACCGGGGACTCCTGGGTTTGGGTTTTTGCCCTTGGACTATCTTAATGTATCCTGCTGCAGAAAACGAAGAAATAATAACACTTAGTGTTCCAGTTGCCAAAGAGCAGCAGTGAATTATTTATGAAACATGTTATATTAGCCATTCATACCCAGGTATTTCTACTGCATAAATGTTGAAGCAAGGCAGCACTCCCCTCTTCTTCCTCCAGTCTTTGTTTCAGCAGATAAGGAAAATGGTGAATAAAAGAAAGCGTGTGATAGGGAAGGAAGGGCATGGCGGTGAAGCTGTCACACTGCCGCATTCTGATGCCTGCACCCACCATGAAAAGCGCACATAAAAAGCAAAGGAGAAACTGTGTTGAGGGCTTTTTGATTAATGCTCTTTCTCTGCCTCCTTGTTTGTTTAACAAAATGCTTGGGGACAGTGTGTGTGTGTGTGCACGTAACAGAGAAAGAGACAAGCAGGTTTCTTTGGTTAATTGTTTGTCCAGTTTTAGATTCAGTAACTAAGGTGATACGATCAGCTCATGAATCTCTAGTGTCAGCACTCTCATTCTAAGGCCCTGTACGTTATAGGGTAAAAGTATCTTCAGCTTCAATATTTTTCTGAATTGAATCTAACCGGCATCTGTTGTATGACACTTTGAAGGCCCGGAGCTATAGTTTGCATTTGTGTTCTGGTATGATGCCTTTAAAAAAATGACATGTCAGCTATGCATATTCAAGGGATTTTATGGCATCGCTTAGATTTTCCTTGGCAATTTTGGCTCCTTTTTAAACACAGTTCTTCCTTCTTGACTTCCTTCTATTTTTAGGATATAGCTACGGACTTGTTACCTGTATATGACCTTTTGTTCTTTCAAGATGATGAATAATCTGTTTTACACTTTTCTTACACTGAGCATCATTCCGAAGATATACAATGAATTTGAAGTGTCTGTTTTCAGAAGTGTTATTTGTAGCTGGGTTGCCAATATATCTTTTAGGCATTTGTGTTAGTGGAGTACTCTGATGTATGCTTTTCCACTTGATTCATAATAAAAAAGTAAAAATATTAAGCTAATGCTTCATCCTTCTTTGCGGCCTCTCAGGTGCTTCCTCCCCAGCATTGGTAGGGTGCACAATTCTACAATAACTGCTCCACCGCCTAAGAGCCAACATCTTTGCGCCAGCTAGGGTTGCCAAGTCCCTCTGGGCAGCTGGTGGAGGATGGAGAGTGGGCTTACCAGGAACGGGGAGTGTCACCCAATGTTTCAGCGATGTGCCCACATGACTTCCAGTGTGACCCAGAAGTGACGTCGGGACATCAGGGCGGCATTTTTTTGCCCCAAAACCAGAGCATCACTCGATGTCCCCAACATGCCTAGAAGAAGAAGAGAACAGATTGGATTTATACCCCGCCCTTCACTCAGAGTCTCAGAGCAGCTTACAAACTCCTTTCCCTTCCCCACAACAGACACCCTGTGAGGTAGGTGGAGCTGAGAGAGCTCTTTCAAGAACTGCACTTTTCAAGAACAGCTGTGAGAGAACTATGGCTTGCCCAAGGTCATCCAGCAGCTGCAAGTGGAGGAGTGGGGAATCAAACCCAGTTCTCCCAGATTAGAGTCCGCACACTTAACCACTACACCAAACTGGCCTACATCACTTCCAGGTCATGTTGAAGTCATGTAGGCAGGTCACTAAAACGTCGAGTGTTCCTCCCTTTTTTTTGCAGGAAGTCTCCCATGCCGGCCAGCTGATTGATGGCAGAGAGGTGGGGCCTAGGAGCAGGAGACCCCCGCTCCCAACAGGGGAGGGGGGTCTGGCATCCCTAGCACTGGCTGGGGTTGCCAACTGTGGGTTGGGAAATTCCTGGAGATTGGGGGGGGTGGGGAGTCTAGGGTAGATGGGGTTTGGGGAAGGGAGGGATCTCAGCACAGTATAAAACAGTCCACCCTCCAAAGTAGCTATTTTTTCTGAGGGGAACTAATCTTTGTAGTCTGGAGGTTGGCAACCCTGTTGCACCTGAACGCCTTCAGGATACCAGGCAAATATCTCCCAGTACATGCCTTCCAAATGCCTTCCTGTGCCTGCTTATAATAGTGTCGACCAGCTTTCTTGGGTTGCCAGTACAAGCTGAAGGGCCTGTCCTGTGATCTTGCTTTCCCTTGCCCTTCTCGGGTGCCCTATGCTTCCTCCTGCTGACTTTGTAAGCCGGAATGTCTATAACAGGAGCCCTTTCTGCTGGAAATTTGTTAGGGAGGATTAGAGATGTGAAGGCCCAGAAAATTTGGAACAGGGGTGAGGACAGTTTCTCTAAACCAAGGTGTTTTTATTTCATTTTTTCCCAGTCGACAATTTGAGAAATTTTGGAGAACACTCAAAAATCTCCTATGATTTTTTATTTTTGGAATAAGAGTAATCCTTTTAAGGACAATCTTTTACTCAAAATGCATAGTGTGAATTTTTCTATGTTATTTGACAGCATTAGATAATAATTCCTTTGTATACTGTTGATCTATACAACATATTTTGACTAATGTGTTTAATGATAATACATTATTGAAGAGTTCAGTGCTCTAATTAGCTTAATATCCAAATACGTTGGGAGTCCTACATAGTTTTTCTTAATTCTCAGAAGACAAAAATCAAGACGCATGTACTAAGGTAACATAAGGTGCAACAGTTTGTAGCTCTCTGTCAAATCCTGGGTATATCAGCAGTTTTTCTTATAGAAAACATTGATACCTTTAAACTTCATAACTGTGACAAATAGTACAATTATATGCTCACTAAGTTATAAATGATGCATTATATGTTGTTAAGTCAGTAAAATGAATTTAGGTTTGATAGAGAAGTATTGCTTCTATATCGATTTTTCCCCAAATTTCTGTGTGGTTTTTTTTACCAGATTTTTTTCACACTGTGAAAATTTCCAGAAATATTAGTTATCTAGGAGGGTTACAATTCATGGCTGGAAGATTTTGTTCATCTCAGTGAGTGCAATTGTAGGTCTAACAGCATTTACAAAATGATGATATTCTCCTGGAATTCAGTCCTCTTCATTGTAATATTTATTAACTAACAAGATATTTTGTGAAGCTTTCCACACAGAAATGAAGACCCCCAGATTCCAGAAAGACTAACTTGATAATGGATTTGCAGACTTCTACTTTCTTGTGTCTAATTTGTCCATAGGCTTGGCATTCTGAAACCATGAGATTGTGATTTGGGGAAATTAAAACCACTGTTCCCTGTTTTTCAGCTCATGACTACATGAAATGCAATCTGGTCTGTAGTGGAACTCTGCGGGAGAATGAATGCAGAGGAGCTGGAGCTATTGGCTGACTCCAAGTATAGGAACTATGTGGCAGCTGTTGACAAGGCCCTGAAAAGCTTTGAGTACTCCAGTGAGTGGGCCGATTTAATCTCATCACTTGGGAAGCTAAACAAGGTATGATGGAGATGGAGATTAGAAGGACTGGGTGAAAAATGTGTAAAGCTTTGAGGAGAAATTGAAAGTGATTTAATTTATTGCAAGAAGTTTAGGGTCTAGATCGGGGTGTCAAGCATACAGCCCACAGGTCAGATCTGGCCCATGAGCAACTGGCTCTCTGTTGTTTCCTTCTCAGGGGCTGCCGCCGCCACTGCATTGCAGCTCGATTTTGCCCAGCTCCCTCTTTCTGGTTCCTGCTTCATGCAGGACAGAACCAAGCCAAGTCTCCCTTCCCTCCATTGGCTGAGCTCTTCTCCTTTGAGAGGAAGGGTGGGGGAGGGAAAGCATAAGTGAGTGCTTGTACAGGAGAAAGAGCAAAGCCTGACTACCATGGCTCCTTTAAGGCCAGCAAAGTTTCATTTCAGGTATAAATATTCATGTACATTGAGATCACCTTGCTCTGCTGTGTTTCTTTGAGACTTGGGCTGCGATAGGCTTGCCAAGTCCCCCCGGGGGCGGGGAAACCCCCGCCCCAGAGGCCCGTACCCCGCTGCCGGCGGATCGGGCCCCGGGGGGAACCCCACCCCCAAAGTACGTGACGTGCACGTCACCCGGAAGTGACGCAACCATGCCAGGCATGCTGGGGGCGCGGCCACGGTCATCCGAGGGAAAACTCTACGGTTTTCCCTCGGATGGTCATGGCCCCGCCCCAGTGTGCCCAGCGTGATCACGTCACTTCTGGGTGATGTGGTTGCGGTGCGTGCGCGCGCGCTCCAGGAAAGAGCCGGGAGTCCCTCGCTCCAGCGAGAGGTACTTGGCAACCCTAGGTTGCGATCCAACATAGCTGTGAATGCCTGATGGATCTAAAGGGCACAATCAGACTGCAACATCTGGGAAGCATCCTGCAGTTGTCGGCAACCCATGCTGCTCCGCCAGAGAAGTGGAGTTAAAAGACACTGGGCAAAGTCCAGCTCTAATGGGTTCCAGCAGGCCATGGATGGACTTTTCCCTGTCTGATCGCGCAAGCATGCTCTCATGCTATCGGGATGGTTTGATCATTCCATCCCGGCTTAGTGCCATCCCCCCCCCTTTGCAGTATATGCATCACCGCATACCCAATAGGGAGCCCTCAGTGCAGAGATGTGATTCCTCATTTATGCACATGGGAAATAAATAGCAAAAAAACCCACCCTAACTCACCCACTGTTGCGTCTGATCACACAGCGATGGGCTGAGCTACAAAGGGAGGTGTGATCTCACAACTGCATGTCATATTCCTCCAGAGGAAATAGCTTTGCTTCCCCTCCGCTTCAGCTGATGCGTGTGACCACAGCCCCCTCCCCCTCTCTCTCTCTCTCACACACACACACACACACACACACACGTGTGTTAAAGGGAATGGGCACATTGGGATAAGGGGAAATAATTATTTTGGCTTATTCTTAAATGGTTTTTTTCTTAGATTTGATTTCTCACTGCCTATGTGACCCTGATTAGGAATTGGAACACTTGGACTGGATTCCATTGTTTAATGACTGGAAGTAGATGGCTAAGTATTTTAAAATACGTTTATGGTTCCATATATTCCAGTTCAACATGTCCGCCTCTCTGGCTGCCTTTCTTCACTCCCCCTTTGCTTTTGATGCACTAGCACTTATTTTGCCCCCTCTGAAATCAACAGATTATTTCACTTAGAGAGAGGGCCCCTTCTCTCCAGTTTAAACAGATGAAAGGGGGGGGGGAGAAACCTAACAGCACAGCTTGCAGTCTTTATTAGAGGAAAGGAGCAAGAATCCAATAGCACCTAAGAAAATTTGTGGCAGAGAATGAGCTTTCGTGAGTCATAGAATCACCTGTTCTCCCAAAATTCTCAAAAATAATGGACAGAGGCTCAGAAATTACATCTGCAAGTTCTTTTAGTACCCTTGGATGCCACTCATCTGGCTCTGAAAACCTCATTTCATTTAAAGAAACTAGGTGTTTATGTACTACCCCTAAGCCGATCCTAGGCTGCAACTCCCTTCCCTCATCATGAGTTCTGTTTTTGCCATATTGAGCACCATTTCCCTTGCAAGAGAAGACAGGGAAAAGTAGGAATTGAGCAGTTCTGCCCTCTTTTCATCACCTGTTACAATTTCACTTTCCTGTCCCTGCAATGGGCCTAACGTGTCCTTGCTCTTTTTCTTACTTTGAACATAAGAAAAGAATTCTTTTTTGTTGTTTTTAGCGTCTCTCGCTAGCCTAGGTTCATACTGAGCTTTAGCTTTCCAAACTCTCTCTATACAAGCACTGGTTGTTTGTATTCATCCTTGGTTATAAGGCCCTCCTTCCACTTTCTGATAGCAGATCCTCTTGTTTCCCTCTCCACTTTCTGGAAATTAAAGTTACCACCAGGCAAAGCCGGTTGTCAAAATTTGCTTTCCTGAAGTCCAACCTATATGTCTATGTACAGCTTTTATCTTCCCCAAGACTGTAAATTCCAAAATTACATGGTCACTAATACCCAGGGTGCCCAGTACTTTCACCTCATCAACCAGTCCTTCCCTGTTGGTAAGAATCAAGTCCAAGATAGCAGATCCTCTTGTTTCCCTCTCCACTTTCTGAAAAATAAAGTTGTCAACAAGACAAGTCAGGAATTTATTGAACCTTTAATTTTTAGCAGAGTTGGACTTCCAACAGATATCCGGGTAATTGAAATCACCCATGACTACCCATCTCTTTGAGAACTCTGTAATCTGTTGTAGGAGTGTCTCACCCAAATCCTCTGCCTGGCTTGGTGGTCTATAGCAGAACCCCCCACCATGATATCAGTATTATTTCTTACTCCTTGTATATTTACCCAGAGACTCTCAACTGGACTTTCATGCTCAGATTCACGTATTTCCTCACAAGTATATACCTCCTTTACATATAATGCAACTCCTCCACCCTTCCTTGTCTGTCCCTTTTAAATAAGTTATACCCCTCGGTCCTAATATTCCAATTGTGAGTGTCATCCCACAAAGTTTCAGTAATGCCTATTAGGTCATAGTCCCCTTCCTGTATTAGGACTTCAACTTACTCCTGCTTGTTTCCCATACTCTGCGCATTAGTGTAGAGACATTGGAATCCATGTTTTATGCACCCTTAGGTTGTCGTTTCTGTACTTACATGTGAGTTAATGTTATCTAGCATACATGCCACTCCCTGCAAAACTTTAGAGTTCTTATCCCCAGTTATTGGCTTTGCATTTTTGTCTCTCCCCCACAGGATTTAGTTTAAAGTTCTCCTTATTAGGTTTGCAAGGCTGTTTCCAAACACATTTTTTCCTACCCTCGTGAGGTGCAAACCATCTCCCAATAGGAAAGCTTCATCTTAAAAGTGTAAGCCATGGCCCAGAAATCCAAACGTATCCTAATGACACCTAATGACAGCATACCTCTCGTGACGACAAGTCCAGTCGGCACACTTTAGTTTCTACCCCTCTCAGTAGGGAATCCCTAATTACCAACACAGTCACTGCTCACATCTTCAGATACAGCTAGATTGAGTCCATAGATCCTCATATCTTGGAGAATGGAGTGATTTCAGATGCCAAATGACAATAGCAGGCATTGGTAATCAGACAGGAAACCAATTCAGTCCTGGAGGATGCATTGAGCTTCATTATCAGTTTCAATTCAGCAGCCTTTCTAATCTCCCTTTGAAATTCCTTTGTAAGAGAACTGCTACTCTTAAATCAGCAATTGAATGTACTGGAAGGTTAAATGTTCACCCACTGTTTTTTTAATGTTGTGGTTTGTAATGTCAGACTGATGTCCATTTATTCTTTGCATCCCCCTGGACGGAACTGAGACCTAGGTTTCCGGTCTCATTACCAATGCTGGTATCTCCATGCCTACAACCCCTCTGCATATCACATCAATCACACCTGCTATTGCAATTTGTCATCTGAAATCACCTTTATAAAGTTTATATCTCTAGTACATCATGTTACATTTTATGGTACGCATGGCCTGGCCCCACAAAGTGACATTTATGTCCGATGAGGCCCTTATAACAAATGAGTTTGACATCTCTGGTCTAGATATTTTCCTGAAAAATTATTTGGAGAGTGATCTGGCAGCTTAGTTAAAAGCCCAGTTATTGCTTTACCTAGTGGTGGTAAAATTCTGAGAGGATAGATTTTTGTGTTGAAGAAAAGAGCATATATGAAGATGCCTTATATCGAATCAAGCCGTCACTCTATCAGGATCAGTATTGTCTACTACGCAAACTGACCTTGACTCTCCAGGTTCTCGAGAATAGATTTTTCACATCACCCACAACTGATTCTTTAAAGCAGAGATGCCAAGGATTGAACTTGGAACCTTTTTGTATGCAGAGAAGATGCTCTACTACTGAGCCATAGCCCCACCCATGTCTCTCATCTACACATTTGATTTTAAATTTTCACACACTTTAATTACAAAAGGAAATTGGTCCTCTCATCTACACATTTGATTTTAAATTTTCACACACTTACTTTAATTACAAAAGGAAATTGGTTAGTAAATTATATAGTGTGTGGATGGGCTTTTATCCTCACTTTATGGAGGAAAGGGAATACAGGTAGAGTTCTGTCTGACTGGGCCCAGTCTCATACACATCACAGAAAAACAAACTTGAACTTGTTGTCAAGTCTGTACAGAATGAGGAGCTGTAGCCAGTGCTGGCTCCTGATGAGATCAGAAATTCCACAAGTTAGCTGGCCGTTTCACAGAGTGGAGTTTACTGAATTGTCAAACAGAGGATTTATGAGATCCCTCTGCTGCAGAATTTGCCCTGAAGAAGAGAGGAAACGGGTTTTTAAGACATCCCAGTGACACGGAGCCAGGGATGTGCTGTTAATAGAAGTCGAGAAAGATTGTGTCTTTGACTGATGCTTACAACACAAATAGGAGGGATTGTCACATTGAACAGTTGAAGAAGTTGACAAATGGAAATTCAGAGTGACTACATGGACTGGTATTTGACCTAAGCGTTTTATTCAATATAGAAGAATTACATGTACTGTAAAATTCTTTGGTTTCTAGTCCCCCTAGCTCTTTTTCTACGAAATGACCCCTGGTGCCAACTATCCCCCACACTCAGCCATCATATCGACGGCCTAGAGCACTCTAGTCAAATAATTGTTAAGAATGTTTTTGTATTGTGGGATTTATAAATGTTTTTAAATTTGTTTTATATTGGCGTTGCCACCTGTAAGCCGCCCTGAGCCCGCATTGCGGGGAGGGCGGGGTATAAATCAAATAAAATAAATAAATAAGTAATATAAGAGATTTGCATATAAATTTACATAAAATTGTTCTTAGTAACTATATTACGGTTGTTTGTATTGGTTGATCAGCTTCTCCCGTGATCTCTCATAATTTGTAGTTTCCTGCTGGCAGGAGGAAATTCCCAGACAACATGGGAGGGGAGTTGCAATTGGCATCCCTGGTGTGACGGTGTCACTTCTGGTATGACTGTAGTTAAACCATAGAGTTTTGGGCAATGCTGGAGCATCACACATTCACATACACACCTGGCGTGATGACATCACTCCTGGAATGTCATTGTGCTGAGGATGCCAACTGCACCACCCCACAGTGCAGAAATCCCTGACACGGAGCCAGGGATGTGCTGTTAATAGAAGTCGAGAAAGATTGTGTCTTTGACTGATGCTTACAACACAAATAGGAGGGATTGTCACATTGAACAGTTGAAGAAGTTGACAAATGGAAATTCAGAGTGACTACATGGACTGGTATTTGACCTAAGCGTTTTATTCAATATAGAAGAATTACATGTACTGTAAAATTCTTTGGTTTCTATTATTGTTAAAGATCTTTATAAGGTCTAGTTATAAACAGTCAGCTTCTCCCGTGATCTCTCATAATTTGTAGTTTCCTGCTGGCAGGAGGAAATTCCCAGACAACATGGGAGGGGAGTTGCAATTGGCATCCCTGGTGTGACGGTGTCACTTCTGGTATGACTGTAGTTAAACCATAGAGTTTTGGGCAATGCTAGAGCATCACACATTCACATAAACACCTGGCGTGATGACATCACTTCTGGAGTGTCATTGTGCTGAGGATGCCAACTGCACTTCCCCACAGTGCAGAAATCCCCGCCTCCCCCCTCTTCCACCAGTTGCCAGGCCATGTCTGGCATCTCTGGTTACTGCCCTGCTTATTTTGATAATTGGAGTGTTATTTTGTTCCAGTATGTTCTCATCTACGTTTGTTCATATGCTATTTGACCTACAGTGAATGAATTTTGTACTCTTGTTTACTTTTTCTGTGTGCCCTAGGCAACAGGGCAGTTTAATAATCAGGGATATATTATGCTGTGTTAGAGTTGTGGTAAATCATTAATTCTAATTCATCATTTATCCTATGTTTATATGGACACAACTGTATAAAAGGTTTTTTCTTTTTCTTTGTGAGATGGGTTGTTAGAGCACTTAAAATGAACTGAAATTTTCCTTGTTAGGTTCTACATAACAATGCAAAGTATCAAGTAGTTCCGAAAAAGCTGACTGTAGGAAAGCGCCTTGCACAGTGCCTTCATCCTGCCTTACCGGGTGGGGTGCACCGGAAGGCGCTTGAGACGTATGAGATTATCTTCAAAATCATTGGGCCCAAGCGTCTGGCCAAAGATCTCTTCCTATACAGGTAAAAGTGCTGACATTTTCATTGTATTTTGAATGTTAATCTTAACCTTTTTGTTCATTCATTCTTAATTAACAGTGTTAGATCCTTCAATGAATCCTACCCAGCATAACTTTAAGTTTGTCAAAATTTGCTTTCCTGAAGTCCAACCTACTACTTGTACCCCCTAAACCCGACAGGGATGGCCTGTGCTGGTTGGAGGCCTCTAGCTCATCTGCGTCAGTTTTGGTCGCTCCCGAACCGGCAGGGGTGACATCTCATTGAAAGGCATTGTCTCTTTGGGGGCCTGTAGCTTGGCTCTCTGAAGTCCAAGAGAGACCAAACTTGGTGGGCATGTCGAGGAGAGGGAGCTGGAATTATGCTGAGAATTTGGCCCCCCGAGACCCCCGGGGGTCTCTTCTGCATCTGGACCAGTTCACAAACCGGCCACAGTTCGGTTTGAGAACCGATCTTGGAATGAGTTTAGTTCGGTTCGGTCTGGGGCAAAATCTGGAAAGTGCCCATCTCTATTTATAATTGTTCAGCCATCCAGCAAGCTTGGATACAGCAGAAGTCTGAATACAACAGAGCATTTCTGTGGGTGGAAGGATTTTCTGCCCACCAAGCATAGCCTATTTGCTTACTGTATGCCTCTGTCCCACAATCTCTGTCCCCCAGGAGAGGCATTTCAGAGGGGCATTTTGGGCTGCACCTGGATGGGGAGGTGAGAAAGTCACACTTCACAGACAAGAAATGCCCCACTGAATCCAAGCCTGTATCTATACTCACAGAGGACACTTTATCCCTTCATACTGTTGTAGAGAGCATCGGACTCACACCTGGGACGAACTGGCTCGAATCCCCGTTTTGTCCATTGAAACTCGCCGGGTAGGGTTGCCAATCTCCAGCTCTCCTGCTATTGCAACTGATCTCCAGGCAACAGGGATCACTTCAACTGGAGAAAATGGCCCCTTTGGTAGTTGGACTCTGTGGCATTATGCTGCAAACCCTGCCCTCCAGCATTTCTAGGTATTTCCCAGCCTGGAGCTGGCAACCCTATTGCTGGGTGACCTTGGAGCTGGCACCCCCTTTCAGTTTGACCAGCTTCACACGGTTGCAGTTGTGAGGATAAAGTGGAGAGGGGAGAATTATGTGATACATCACTTTGGGTGCCCCTGGGAGAGAAAAGTGGGATCTAAAAAATAAATAACTCCATGTGCTGTCAAACTGCATTAGTTTTCCAAACATAAGCATTTGTAGTAGTTTGGTCAATAATGTGAATGTCTCCAGGGATTCATTGAAACTGCTGAACTCCTCCATACAATTATGAACATGGGTATGTTGTTGCCAATGTTACCTCATGAGAAAAGGTTAGTATCAACCTTCGGGGTAGGGCGGGATATAAATCCAAGGATAAATAAATAAATATGTAGTAGCTGCTATTATTTCAGCAATTGTGGTTACATATGTGGCTGCTGGCTTATGACATGTGCAGACTGGTTGGCACTAATCTTTCTCTGTTTGCAGTTGTGTATACCTGATTGCAAGAAGGAATTTAGCAGTGAGAACTGGCACTAGCATAGCAAAAATGAAAGATTTTAATTTTTTTCTATAGAAAGAAATGGAATCAAAGAGATCTGAAAAGCTACAAATGAATACAGAGAGATAGCTGTTTTGGTAAAAAAAACATATTTAAGCTGATTTGTATTTGAATAAAATAGCTAAATACAAGGAAATTGTGCCTAAAATCATAGAAACTAGAACCACTTCCTTATCATGATTTTTTTAAAATAATTTTTTCCTAGTAATATTCATTAACTTTTTGATGTTTTTTCTTTGTAATTTTCTTTGCCAGTTATAGCAGCAAAATCCAAGCTGGCTTTTAGATAAACTGTTAGAATTGTTTCCATTTTAATAGGGGTATTAACAGATTATTAAATTGAAGCATGAAATGCTGTGGCTTACTGCAGCTGTCACATAAATAACCCTAGGGGCAGAATTCTTGCAAGAGTTCAAGAGGCCCCAGAGGGCAAGGAAGCAGTATCTGATGGGATGCCAGCTGCAAGCACTGACTCTGTGTGTATCCTGTGTATATGAATGACAGTGCAATCCTAAGCAAAGTTACAGCCTTCTAAGCCCATTGACTACAGTAGACTTAGAAAGGTGTCGCTGCTCTTAGGATTGTACTCCTAGGCAGCCACCATACGCTTTTAGTAATTATTTCCATGTGGTGAGAATTATAATATGAAGCAGGCTTCAAAAGCCTGCCATATTAACCTCATGTATCTGTGTTTTATGTTCACAGTTCTGGGTTGTTTCCTCTTCTTGCCAATGCTGCTATGTCTGTCAAGCCAGCATTACTCAGTCTGTATGAAGTGTATTATCTTCCTTTGGGCAAAACGCTGAAACCAGGCCTGCAGGGTTTGTTAACTGGGATCCTTCCTGGCTTGGAAGAGGGGTCAGAGTATTATGAGAGGTAAGGCTGTAGGTCAGTGTAATATATTTTAAAAACTTGCATACTGTGAATTTTTCCAGGAGAACCAGTGTGACATAGTAATTAGAGCGGGGGGCCCCAGCATGGTGCCTGGGGATGCCATGGTGCCTGCCAACACCTTTTCTGGTGCCCACTAAGTGTTTTTAGGAAGTGGCTGGGGCTAAGTTGGGCTTTTGCCTGGAAAGGCTCCTGAATGACTATTGGAGATTTGGTTCGCATGAAGAACAAAGGACCAAGGACCCTGAGGTCCTTGGAGAAAGGACAGAAAATGTAATTGTCTATTGATATGATGTGATATTGCAACATATTGCTTTCTCTACAAGGAGATCAGACTTTATAAAACATTGACATTAACATCTGGTTTTGCTGTGGGTAATGTATCATTAAGGGCTCCTCCATTCAGGATCCACAGAACTCTGAAATCAACATTTTATTTATATATTTATTTGCTTTATTTTTACTCCACATCCCCATCCAGTGGGACCCAAAGTGGCTTACAACATTGTCTCCTCTCCATTTTAGCAAATCAACTAATTACCTAGAACAGTTAAGTGAAACATATATTCAACCTTTTTTCTGATTATATATTTTAACTGGGAAAATGTACAGGTTTCGGGGGCCTTGTGCACCAGGGTGATCAGAAACTTCCTGCCTAGGGTTGCCAATTCTAGGTAGAACAATTCCTGGAGATCTGGAGGTGGGGACTTTGGAGAGCAGAGTTGAGAGAGGGGAGGAAGTTCGGCCAGGATATGATACCGTAAGGTCCACCCTCTGAAGCTGCCATTTTATCCACAGGAACTTGTCTCTGTAGTCTGGAAATTACTCATTATTCTAGGAAAATTCCAGGGCCCGTTTGGAGGTTGGCAACCCTACTTCAGTCCCCCACTGCTACCCAGTGCAGCGGTGGGAGAAATTTTTGGGAGGAAGTGGCGTCACCTCCAGTTGCTGTAATCCCAAAAGGGCTTATTTTTCCTCTAACATCATGGCAAAACCGTATGGCACTTTTGGGGAATGTCATTGGTTTAGGGTTGCCAGGTCTGGGTTGGAAAATACCTGGAGACTTTGGGGGTGGATCCGGGAGAGGGCGGGGTCTCGGGAGGGGAGGGGCCTCAGCATGGTGCAATGCCATAGAGTCCACCCTTCAAAGCAGCCATTTTCTCCAGGGGAGCTGATCTCTTGCTACCTGAAGAGCAGTTGTAATTTTGAGTGATCTCTACCCCTCACCTGGACACTGGCACCAGGAGGAAATGGCTGGTTTGGAGGGTGGAGTCTATGGCATTGTGCCTGTCTGAGGTCCCACCCCTCCTCAAACCTCACCCTCTCCAGGGTCCACCCCTCAAATCTGTATGAATTTTCCAACCTGGAGTTGGCAACCCTATCTGGAGTTTCCCCCTCGGATGGTTTTGGCCCTGCCCCCAGCGTGCCCGGCATGGTCGCGTCACTTTCGGGTGACGGGGTTGCGGCGCGCGTGCGCTCCGGGAACAAGCCGGGAGCCCCCCGCTCCAGCAGCAGGTAAGACTTGGCAACCCTATTTGAAACAATTATAAGTGGCTGGCACAGTAAAATGCTTATGAAGCTCCTTTCAGTTTCACAAATCAGGTTCTAATGTGGCAGTCAAAAGCAAACTATTTGTCATAGCTAGCAGGAGCCTAATCATTTCTCGGGGGCGGGGTGATAAGTGCTGTCAAGTTGCTTTCAACATATGGCGACCCTATGAATTAATGACCTCCAAAATGTCCTATTGTTAATAGCCTTGTTCAGGTCTTGCAAACTAAAGACCATAGCTTCCTTTATTGAGTCAATCCATCTATCGGGTTTTCCTCTTTTCCTAGCATTATTTATTCTCTTTTCAGATGAGTCTTGTCTTCTCATGATATGACCAAAGTACAAAAGCCTCAATTTATTAATTTTAGCTTCTAGGGAGAACTTAGGCTTGATTTGATCAAAACCCCACTTATTTGTCTTTTGGGCAGTCCATGGTATCCATAAAACTATCTTCCAACACCACATTTCAAATGAATCAATTTTCTTCCTGTCAGCTTTCTTCACTGTCCAACTTTCACATAAATAGTAATGGGGAATAGATGCCAGCCCCTTTACTGAGAAGTTTTCTTTTCTTTCTGGTTGCTTTTGGCTTTGTTTTGTATTGGTGAAAATTTGTTCCACTCCACCAGTTTGTGTGAGGATAAGACTGTCCTGTCCCCCCTCTGGACTTTTCATTTTTCTGCTCGCTTCTTATTCCTTGTGCTGCAGAACCAACACTCTGCTGGAGAAAGTAGCAGCTGCAGTGGACCAATCAGCTTTCTACAGTGCGCTCTGGGGTAGCCTTCTGACAAGTCCTGCTGTTCGGCTGCCTGGAATTACTTATGTCCTCTCCCATCTGAACAGGAAGCTTTCCATGGAAGACCAGCTTTACATAATAGGCAGTGACATTGAATTGATGGTAAGAGCCAGTAAAGTTGAATTTTATGCCATTTCCCAGTCCCAGTAATTTGCTTCCATAATCTCTTGGTCCTCATTGCCTAAAGAAATAAATCTGATGTATTTTATAGCAGCGGCTGAATGTTTTTCAAATTCTGAGAATATTTGAGGAATTACATCGTTTATTGAGCTGAATCATAGGCCAAAATTTAATTTACATTAAATTTATGCCTAAATCTTTTTTATGGAAATCAGTGAACTTTATTTTTGGGGGGTTTTTACTTAATTTAAACCCAACTTTTTGACTCAAAGGGAACCCAAAGTACCTTACAATATTCTTCCCTTCTCCATTTTATCCTCATAACAACCCTGTGAGGTGGATTAACGTGTGTGTGTGTGTGTGACTGGCCCAAGGTCACCGAGCAGGGTTCCACAGCAGAGTGGGGATTTCATTCTGGGTCTCCCAGATCCTAGTCCAACACTCTAATTGCTACGCCACACTATGCTTAACTTTAGCTGATGGCTGCCAAAAAGTAACATTTTCCAGTGTTTGACGTAGATCCAGGTGGGTAGCAGCGTTGGTCGGAAACAAAGTTTGAGTCCACTGGCACCTTTAAGACCAACAAACTTTGTCAGTGTTTGACATGAGAGCTGAGATATTAAGGGTAAGGTGTTGGAGCCCATTGTCCACACCCAGTCTTCTCATCTTCCCCAGCAGCTGAGGGTTAGGCGATCCTCATGGACAAAATGCCATGCAACATGAGGACTTTCTTGGGTGAAACTGACCCCACTCTGCCATTGCAAGAGGGAAAGGGAACGGTTTCTTCTGATTCGCCTTCTTTCTTTCAGGGTCCCTTGCTACATGACGTTCTGTTCAGGATGGAGAGGGAAGATGGGGAATATCTGCCTCCAGAAACCCCTATGCTCATGTGTGATAAGAGCCAATCCATTATCTGTGTCTTTTTGTGTTACATAATTTGATATCAGTTGGGCTACATATTTTTCTGTTCTTTTCATTTTAAACATCGCTTTTTATAATTACACGTACACATACACATGCAATTGCACAAAAAAGGTGAATTTTGCTGAGCCAGCCCACTGGTCTGTCAGGGTCCATGCTGTCTACCCTGACGCGCAGCAGCTCTCTAGGGTCTCGGGCAGATGTCTTTCATCTGATGTATTTCACCGGAGGTGGAGATTGAACCTGGGACATTCTGCAAGCAAAGCAGATGCTCTACCACTGAACCATGTCCCCTCCCCAACACAGATAAAATACGTATGTCTGCATCTGTTTGAAAACAAGCAAAGCAGCATTGCTGCTTATACCTGTATTTAATGGCGATTTTATTTCAGGTAGAAGCGGTAAGCACTTCAGTGCAGGATTCTAGTGTCTTAGTACAGAGAAGCACACTGGACCTGATACTCTTCTGTTTTCCGTTCCATATGAGTCAGGTAAAATGAATAAATACTCAGTGAACTAATCTCTGTGTGTTTGTGCGTGTAAGTATACGTATATGTGTTTGTGCAGTATTCATGTATGCAAACTTCAGCCACACTTTAAGATCTCCCCATTTGAAAATAGCGTCATCCAGTGAATAGACCCACTCTTAGGCTGTGTTCGTCTGAAAACAGCTCCTAATCATCCTGAAATATCTCTGCTGGGGTCCAAAGAGTGTCTTATGTGTGTAGGGAGAGCTTCCAAAGAAAGGCACTTTCACACATTCTGAATAATTTCATTTTCAGTGCCCTTTGCAACTGGATTTTGCTGTGCAGAATGGCAAAACCCACTTGCAAACAGTTGCTAAAGTGCATTGAAAAAATATCTATAAGAAAGTTCATTATTCAGTGTATGTGACAGCGCTGCAAAGAGAGCCAATTTTCCCTTTCGACTGAAGTAAAAGAGCACGTGGTGGGTCATCTGGCTTTGAATGGATGCAACGGGAGCTGCTAGGGAAAGCGGGAACTGAAGTGTCCATGGGGTACAGCCCTTTGGATCCAAGTCCTCATGCTATTTTAACCAGTTAGTGACTTCCAGCATTAACATTATAAAAGATTGCCTGCGGTTTGCTGGAGGTATTATAAAAGATTCTGAAAATGCATAGATTTACTTTCTATATGATTTGAAAACCACTGAAGTTTTTAACATGATACATCTTGATCCAGGACAGTGAGCATGCAAAAAAAAGGGGGGGGACCAAATTTGCTTTCTCCAGTGAATGGAGAACTTCTGTGCATGCATCAACTTCCTGCTTCAGGTAGAGGTTACTGGATCTGGCCAATAAAGCTGAGGTAATGCATTTGTTTTCATGGCACCTACTGTGTTCCATTTTAGAAACCCAGTGAACTATCAGCAGTAGGTAATATCTGATTTATATAATATGATCTATTTTCCCCCTTTTATCTTCTTGACCATTTTTTTGTGGTGGTGCTACGGCCGCTCATTTAAGCCTCGGGTTATACTGGGATAATTTTAATAATTTTGTTGTGAGTGAATATTCATTGATAATTTATTATATTTTACTGGATTTTTTGTAAGGTACTTCAGGGACTTTATTATGAAGCAGTGCATAAAAAATTTTAAAAATAAAAAAGAATGCTATGAATCTTAGCATTTTTCGTATGAAAGAATGGGAACAGGAGGAAGAGAATGAACACAAGCAAGAAGCATTACATTCGTGCAATCCTAAACAGAGTTACACTGTTCTCAGCCCCATTGATTTGAGTGGATTTAGAAAGGAGTAACTCTGTTTAGGATTACACTGTGAGGCAGTAAGTTGTGGTTCACAGTTTCCTCCTTCAGTATAACATATACAAGTAGGATTATTTGGCAATAAGTAGCATTTGTTGCCAGTAAGAGAGATGTCTGGCTGGCCTCAACTAGGGCCAAGGCTTTTTCTGTCCTAGCCCCAGCCTGGTAGAACAAGCTCCCTCTTGGGATCAGGGTCCTGGCAGGATTTGTTACAATTCCACAGGGCCTGCAAGATGGAGCTGTTCCATCGGGTCTTCGGGTGAGGCAGCGGACATCCAAATCTATCTCAGCCTCCCCTGCTGACAATGCTGCCCAAATGGAACCAGCCCAAACTGAGCACCGTTGTTGAGGCGAATCCATCCTGATTGTGTTTGTTTTGTTTTTTAGCAGAAATATGGTTTTAATTATATGGTTATCTTTCTAATTTGTAACCCACCCTGAGCCCGCTTGTGGGGGACGGTGGCATAAAATAGAAATAAATAAATAAATAAAAATTGCTCATCACACCCTGTTGAGTAATTTTGAATAGTCATATAACTGACTATATAGAGAGGCTGGTCCAGACATTCTTTAGGGTTGCCAAGTCGACTCACCCCTTGGAGCAGGGGAGCCTTGCCGGCGTCCGGGAGGTCTTGATGGATGCGCGTGCCGGCAGCACGTCACCAGAAGTGACGTGCGATGTTGGGGGCGTGGCCGAGCTCATTGGGGGGAAAACCATATGGTTTTCCCCCCGACGAGCTCAGCCATGCCCCCAACGTCAGCAACGTGACGCAGCTTCGGGGGCGGGGTTCCCCCCGGGGCCCGATTCCACCACGGCGGACATCAGGCCTCCGAAGTGGGGGTTCCCCGCCCCCCAGCCCCATTTGGCAACCCTAACATTCTTAGACTTTTAAAAACACATAGATTAGCTGTTTTGATTAAGTATTTTAAATTAATACAAAGAAGCATGTGCTCAGACTACATCTTGTACCTGATTAATTTTGTCTCATTCTTCTGCATTTAAAATTCTTTTTTATAATACAGTTAATGAGAAAATGTCGTTGTCACCAGTGATTATTTTTATTGCATTTTATTGAGGGTTTGCTTCTAGTACTTACTGCAGTTAAATTGGATATAACAAGATGGGCTGCAAGTAGAGGTTTGGTCATCATTGGTTGAAGCCTGCTGAGCTCCTTTCACAAAGGACAGATAAAAAGAGTAGCCCTTTTTTTGTTAGGCTCCAGATGTCATGCTGTCTAAATTTTGGGGTTCTGGGAAGTGAATTCTTTCTGTGCCACCAAAGCCTTCAATGTGATACCAGTTTCTATTTGATGTTTAAAGTGTAACGTTCCCAATTCTAGGCAACGCGCCCAGACATGATCAGAATTCTTTCTGCATCTCTTCATGTAGTCCTGCGCAGAGACATGTCACTTAATCGAAGGCTTTATGCCTGGCTTCTAGGTAAGAGCAGGATTTGTTTTTGTAACTGTAATTTATTTGAACATTTTTGATCAGCTTTGGAATTTGTAAGAAAGCAGAGTGAAAATACAGTTTAAAAATACAGTAATAAATTGGTAAGTGAATCAACAGCTTTATTCAATTAGCAGGAAAAATGTAGTCCTAGTAAAGTCCCATCACTTCCTAAGCACTATTATTTCAGTGCTGACCTAAATATAAAGCATTTCAGCAGCGTGGCCAAACAGGCCAAGCTGTGGGGGTGTGGAATTTCAGATTGCATTGATGCGGGGCCACCATTGTAAATGTTCTGTTCTCTGGTCTCTGATGGAGGTAGCATCTGCATTAGAGGCCCTTTATCAAGGAGGTTAATACAGGACAAAGTGATCCCTCAAACATCCCAGATCCTGACTGTACAGAGCTTTTAAAAGTAAGAACCAGAAACTGGAATTTGACCAGAAAACAATTTATGGACCCCTTATAAAATTAAAGTATGCCAGGTAGTGAATGTCTGTCTCTAATCTCTTTTTTTGACCTCCTGAAATTCCTCAATTTCCTTCAAGAGTAATCACATTTCAGCAATGTTGTGAATTATAAAGCTGCAGTTGCAGTCAGTGGAACATGGTTCATGAAACTTTCTGAACAGTGTGGCCACTAACAACATTCACCTTAATCAGCATCCCCATTTGCTATGATCCTCAGAAAAGGCTTTGCTCATTGTTCCTGCCCTTGTCTGAAATCAGACTGATAGGGACAAGGAACACAGGGCCTTCTTGACTGGAATTCCCTTCCTCAGGATACTAGGCTAGCTCCATCTGCTCCTTCCAGAAACTGGTAAAACATCTTCGTTTCAGCAGAAGGTGCGGCAGACTACTATTTGATGGACCAAACATTTATTGCTTTCTGTTTTAAATAGTTGTATTTAAATAAATTGGCTTGCGTCCAAAAAATTGCAAGCGGTATGAAGCTTGCAAGATAGGACTATCCTGCTGTTCCCCTTCTGCTGCCACTCACTGATCCCTCTGAAAGTCTTCCCCTGAGGATAAGAGGACCCACACAAATGTCAATGTGTATGTGCATCCCCACAATGGGGCAAATAATACCCCCTCGGGACCATTTTGGGTTAGGGGAAGAATGAGACCACTTCTGCCCCGCCTTCAATCCCCATCTGGATTGGGACCCTGCAGTGCTTCAAAATGGAGCTTTAATGTGACTTGCCAGTCTTCATGCTGGTCACGTGTTAAATGTCTCATCTAGTTTGGGCCTCAAGGAGCAATCCTATGCAGCGTTACACTCTTCCAAGCCCACTTTCTTAAGTAGACTTAGAAGGTTGTAATTTGCTTAGGATGTCACTGTAAGACAGCAGGTCCACTCAGAATCCTGTCGTGGCCTATTTGTTTGTGCTTACTCCTAGGGATATGTTTTTAGAATTGCACTGTGATCCCAGAAGTACTTGATTCAAATGTTGCCTTAGCAATGAATTCATTAGATAGTATTGGACAAGCCACTGTGTCTTAGCTTCTTTTCTGCAATATGGAAATAATAACACTGTTTACTTTACAGAATTTTTGTAAGAATTACTGAAAGAATGTATGTGAAGAAAATAAAATCCCTGTGGAAATGCTATTCTTAGTATCGTTCACGTTTGGTCTTAATTCTTGTGAAGCCTTTTCTTTTTGCTAGCAAAAAAATTAACCCTAGCATTCATTAGCCTTTACAAGAAGTAGAATGTCAGATTTCCTATAAGAGTGAGAGCAGTTTGACGTTTTGCTCTTAATGCGACTAGTTGCCTTTATTAAAATTTTAATTTAAAAATGGTCTTTCCTCTTGCCAACAATATTTGGACGGCAAAATGGTAAGTTGGTAGAATCAAGCTGTTGTTCTCCCTGTTTGTTCTTTACCATTTTATTTAAGCATTGTATTAATCTGACACAAATTTTCTTTGCTTTAAAGGTTTTGATAACAATGGTGCTATCATAGGGCCTAGAAGCACAAGACACAGTAACCCAGAAGAACATGCTACCTATTATTTCAGTACATTCTCCAAGGATATGTTAGTTCAGGTAGTCATGTTTTCTGTATGTTGTTTGTATGATCTTTTATGTATGACATAATTCCCATGTGTGACAATGTGGACGAGGGCCTAGTTGGTACTGCTCATGGTCACCTGTTGTGATCAAGAGTGGGAACTGCAGTTTGTACACCACTACTCAACTCACATTGCTGTTCTACAAATTTGCAAATGTCATAACTAATGTGGTTGATTGGGCAAGAAAGCAAAGGCCTGTGCTCTGTATTCATTCAAGTCTTTTGTGCAAACTGTGGTATCTTATTAGAATATTTCTGTGCATAAATCACTGTTAGAAATAACTTGTCATTGGAATAAGCCCTTTAAAAGTACCTTCAGTATCCTCCGTTCTTCCAATATTTCTTTTTCTGTTCTATTATCACTAGGATTTGGGCTTCCATGCAATTTTATATTAAACTAATTGATCCCCATAAAATGATAATGAGGTCTTGTCTACAGAATGTACATTTTCATGACTACTGAAGACATTGGTTAGGTCAAGATGCTCAAATTCCTGCTTGAGGGATTCATATGTGGTGTGCGATAAGATTCCTCCCACACACACTTTTGCCCATGCAGCCTATTTCCAGGTCCCTAACTGTGGCTTTTCATTACCCGATCCATTTTTCATGACTGATTCATAAGTCTACTAGTCATAAGATCATGTCCTTAAACAGAGCAAGAGTCACTGTTTCGTACAAGCAGGGGTCATTTCCTGCAGGAGCGCACAGGAGCGGAGCTCCGGCAGTAAAGAGCCCAGGGGGTGGGCACATGCAACAAGCCCCACCCCCTGCTCCCAGCAGCCCTCAGTCAGAGCAAGAAGTAGCCAGGTAAGATGCAGAGCCCTGGCCCCCAGTCGAAAACAGTCCAGTGACACCTTTTAGACCAAGTTTTATTCAGGTACAATTTCTCCCTCCCTCTGCAAGGACAGATCTTCATGTTTCCTTCCCCCCCCCCCCCATACCTAGCAATCCAAAACAGTCCAGTGGAGCCTGAGCAAGTGGGTATTGCCTTCTGACACACCTCTGGTGACGTCAGGGTGTGTGGCATATGCAAATAAGTTATGCTAATGAGCTCCTCTTTTTCTATGAAATTACCCCTGCATACAAGGGAGGAGGAACTGATCTGTGGTCTCCCGATACAATTATTTCTCATTTATTAATAGGAACAAATGATTACCTGCCGGCAACATATCCTGTCTGGGTTGGAACCAGTTAAAGCCCAATGTCTAGAATATGTTCGGATCTCCTAGCTCTGTCTGAAAAAATGGACCACACTAACATGTGTGGCTTTTCACTGTAGCCTAAGTTTTTTTTCTTAGTCTTTGATTCTAAAAGGTGATCTTTTGCAGGCAATGGTGGGAATTTTGCAAATCAACGGACATGGAGAGGAGAGCACGTTGATGCAGGACCTAAAGCCTTTTCGGATTCTTATCAGTTTACTGGACAAACCTGAGCTAGGTAGCTATACGGATGTGTTTATGTGTGTCTGCTTGTGTGTTTGTTTGATTACTATCATATAAAGAGAGTTACAAATAATGGCCTGGATCTGAAGTACCGCAAGCACTTTCCCACCTCTTTGCTTCCACTGCATCCCCCCAAAATATATGCCTGTGATCAGGGGGTCCCCAAGAACATTACTTGAGTACATGGTGAGGGTTTGCAGAAGAAGGGGAAGTGCCATTCTGTTGGCAGAAAAGGAGGCCTGTATCTAACTCAATGTTAACAGTGAAAAAGTCAGGCACTGTAAGGCACATATTTGATCAAACCGTAATTTTCATTCTAAGAATGTTCTGCTTCTCTGTACCATCATTCAAATGATTGTGGCAAGCCTGGTACTGCAACAACTAAAAAAGCAGTCTGCACCAGCAAGTCACTCAAAGTCACATTACTATTTGAATCTGATGACACAGTGTTGGACTGGTATGGAGTACATGGTTGATTTGCCCTGGTGACTCCTAATATGTGGAACAAGGTTCCAGAACTAAGAAGGACTCCATTTACAAAATTTTGTGGGATATAATATCATCCTGCTCTTGTAAGGATTTTAATATGATTCTAGATATGTTGGTATACATATCTAAATCACAGTATAAGTAAAATAACCTCCAGGAACAAAATTAGTAACTTTAAAAAAATGAAATACAATTCTTTCTTACCTCTGAGCTATTTTATTTATTTATAGTTACTGAAAACATTGATTAGCCCCCTTTCTTCCTTACGGAGCTCAAGGTGGCTTTACAGCATAGATAAAACACATAAAATACATTGGGAAAAACACACACCCCTCTTCCCAATTTAAAATAGCCAGTGTTGTGTAGTGGTTAAAGTGTCAGACTAGGATTTGGGAGATCCAGGTTCAGATCCCCACTCTGCCGGGGAAGCTTGCTGGGTGACCTTGGGCCAGTCACACACTCTCAGCCTAACCTACCTCACAGTGTTGTTGTGAGGATAAAATGAAGGAGAGGAGAATGATGTAAGTCGTTTTGGGTCACCGTTGGAGAGAAAGGTGGGATATAAACAAATATAAATAATAAATAAATCAGGACTGCTAATAAGCATCATCAAATGCAGTCTTAAATGCAACTGTGTTCACCTGCCTCCGGAAGATCGAAAGTGAGGGGGTCAGGCACATCTCCCTGGGGAGGTTGTTCCATATTGTGGGGCTGCCACTGAAAAGGCTGTATCTCTTTCACTTGGGTTCAGAGAGAAACTGTAATCTTCAGATTAAGCTCACAGTTTAAAACTTTAATGGCAGTGAGTGTACATTAAGGATTAATGAAGTCAATTATAGTAATCGTGTCAGTGCACTGAGCTGCAGCACCAACAGAGATCTTGTTCCCACAGTGACAACACTGATGCCACCCTTTCCAAAAGCTTTCCAAACTTCTGATGTACCCACTTGAATAGATCTTCGATGTGGTCTCTGTGCTTCACACCCATGGGATCTAGTGTGCATGTGCTGGATCGATCGGCATTGTAGCAAGCTCTTTAACGGATTTTCGTGCCCAGACCTCGGGCATGTGCAGGAACCCCACCACGCATGCCCAGAGGGGTGGGCGCAGACATCCCGCCAGTTCCTTTCTTACCGCCACGCTGGAAACATCTTCCTTTCGTCGGTCTGATCAGTTCACTATTTACCTCATGGCTCTTCAGATTTTTTCCTCAGTTCTCTTTTCTTTTCTCAGCCTCTCTTCATTTGTTCTTTAAAAAACTAAAAAAAAACAGTTTTTTCCAGCTGAGGGGAAAGTTGCCGGTTTACCTCAGTGTGGCCTTCGGGCTACCCCCCCTCCCCCCTTCTTTCTTCTCCTTTTTTACTTATTTAATGCTGAAGAAGTGGGGCTTTTTCAACCACTTCAAGGGTTGTGGCAGTAAACTCGCTCCACCTGACCGCCACACCCTCAGCATTTTTTGTTTGGGGGAATCACACCGACCAGAGTCTTGTCGGCACTGTGCCAGGTTTTCTAACCAGATGAGGAAAAACCGAGCAGCACGCCTCAGAGTAGTGCTACTAGAGTCAGTGTTACATCCTCCCTCAGTGATGGATTCCGAAAGCCTTCAACATCGACGGCTCCGGCATCGAGGTCCTCTTCCAATATTGGTCAACCGACATCGAAATCACCGACATCGAAGGCGCAATCCTCCACTTCCACGCCGGTGAAAAAGAAAGCCAAACTAGGTAAGGAGCACAAGTCCGCAAAGAAGGGCTCCTCTAAGTCCCTTAAGGCGGCAAAGAAGGGGAAGGTAGTGGTGTCTGCACTGGGTGATGCCCCTAAAGTGCCTCCCGCTCCAACGGCAGTATCGCTACCGGAGGCCCAAGCCCCTCCACTGATACCGACCATTCAACTCTTGGACTCCCCTATGCACCAACTGGAACGTCCTTACTCCGATACACTTTTGGACTCTCCTATACACCAACTCAAATGTTCTTTCTCCGATATCGAGACTCTGGAGCTCCTTAGTCGCCCCCCAGACACAGATCGCTCTCCTTCCCCATCGTTGACATCGACGGTCTCCGAGGCCCATGCCGGTATCGGTACAGGTCGGAATCGGCATATCTCCAGCAGCACTCAGCATCACCCTCCATGTCTGTTTGCTGAGCCTGTCGATATCGATGAGCGAGTTTATAGGGACTGCTCACAAAGGCAGTATACTGCACTGTCTCCTGGATGCTCCCGTTCCAGAAGTTGATCTCCTTGAGTCTTTATTCTTCCACCTCCACCTCTGTCGTGGGATCACCGCCAACTGAGGTATCTCTATGGGGCTTATCGACCATCCATGCCGTGGTTGACACCGGCGTTGGTCCTCCTGGAAAACCTGAGTCTACAAGTGAATCTAGAAAAGTCTCAAGTTCAACCGGTCCAGAAAATACAGTACGTTGGTGCGTTACTGGATTCCACCAATTGCACGGCTTACCTGCCTCAAAACAAAGGGGAAGACATCATACACCTAGCCACCGTCATTTGTACCTGGCCTTCAGTTACGGCCTTCCAAATACAGAGGCTACTCGGCCTTATGGCCGCTACTACGTCAGTCCTGGTCTTTACCAGATTAAAAATTTGTCACCTTCAACTATGGTTTATCCACAACTTCGATCCAAAGAAAGACACACACTCCACCTTCCTAAACCCTCCTCCCAACATCAGAGAGTCTTTACTTTGGTGGACTGTCCCCTCCAATCTATTCCAGGGAGCACACTTCCATCCTCCATCACCCCAAATTACCCTAACCACAGACGCCTCCCTGTCGGGCTGGGGTGCCCACATGATGGGTCTTTGTGTCAGAGACAAATGGGACACTCAGAAATAAAAGTGGCACATAAACTTCCTGGAACTGCTTGCAATACAGTTCGCTGTCACCAGTTTCCTACCTCTGATCAAGGGGAAATGTGTTACGGTCCTCACGGACAACACCACTGCCCTCAGTTATGTCAACAAGCAAGAGGGCACTGTCTCCCTCCGCCTCTGCAACCTTGCCATCCAGTTATGGAACCTTTGCATCGGCTACAACGTCTTCCTGGTAGCTACGCACATCCCAGGACACATGAATGTGCAGGCAGACCATCTGAGTCGAGCAGGACTCAAGTCTCCACGAGTGGGAAATGAACCCAACCTACCTTCTCCCACTCTTCCGCAGGTGGGGAGTTCCCTATCTCGATGTTTTTGCCACCAGAGCGAACAAAAAGTGTCCTCTGTTTTGCAGCCGAGGTGGCAGGGACCCACACTCTCTAGGGGACGGTCTCCTCTATCCTTGGTCCAGAGGACTTCTCTACCTCTTCCCTCCACTACCCCTGCTTCTGAGATCAGCGACAGAGCGGACTGCATCCTCATAACCCCATGGTGGCCGAGACAACCATGGTTCTCAACCATCCTCCACCTGTCAGCGGGGGTCTACCACCAATTTCCTCCAGCACAGGACCTCCGGTTCCTATCAGAGTCCCCTCTCCTATACCACAACGTGCCACAAATGAAGTTGACAGCCTGGAGAGTAGTGTCAACAGCTTTTCCACCCGCGTAGCGAACGTTTTACTAAACTCCAGAAAACCCACTATGCAAAAATCGTACCAATACAAGTGGCAGAGATTCTGTTCCACCTTGGGTGACGATGCCCCTCGAGCCACTTCTGCAGGTCTCGAGAAAGGTTTTCAATTCCTTCTGTCTCTCGCTGACTCTGGACTTTCACACTCCTCGTTAAAGGTTTATTTGGCCGCACTTTCGGCCTACCATGTTCAAGTTGAGGGATGCACACTGTTCTCGCATCTGTTCTCTAAACGTTTTTTGAAGGAACTGTTGCACCTTTATCCTCCCCATCAAAACTCCTGTCGTCCCCTGGGACCTTCCCCTGGTCCTTTGCCAACTCACCAGGAAACCTTTTAAGCCACTCGCAAATTGCGACCTAAAATTCCTGTTGTGGAAAACTGCCTTCCTGGTTGCTGTCACTTCAGCAAGGTGAGTTGGAGAAATACTGGCCTTCAGACATGACACTCCTTTACTTGTCTTTTTTGCCAGACGGCGTCCGCCTCGTACCTGACATCTCGTTCCTGTCAACGGTAGTGTCAGAATTTCACCTACAGGCAGAGGTCTTCCTCCCGGATTTCTTCCCGGCTCCGACATCCTCAGAGGACAGACTGTTACACACATTGGATGCGAAACGTGCCCTTCTGTTTTACCTAAACAGAACCCGTCCAACGAGACGTGACTCCCAGCTGTTCGTCTCCTATGCACCAGCAAGACTGGGGACTCGCATCACGGCTCAGCGCCTCTCAAAGTGGATTGCGGGTCTCATCCGCCTCTGCTACCTAATTGCCAAACAGCCATTGCCTGGCCCTATCAGGGCCCATTCAACCCGAGCTGTTGCAGCTTCCACTGCCTTCCTCCAGGGAGTTCCCCTAATGGACATTTGCAGAGCCGCTACATGGGCTACGCCTAACACCTTCATGAGGCACTACGCCCTAGACGTCTGAAAGAACTCTAGTACCAACATAGGACGTCACATCTTATCTTCAGCTACGCAGTAAGGACCTGCCAGCACCCTCCTCCAGGTAGGCCTCTGCTCGCTAATCTCCCATGGGTGTGAAGCACAGAGACCACGTCGAAGATAAACAGGTTGCTTACCTGTAACTGGTGATCTTTGAGTGGTCATCTGTGCATTCACACCATCCGCCCTCCTTCCCCGCTGCTGTCAGCTTCTACATTTTACATAGGGGTTGATTCGCGGTGGGTCGAAGGAACTGGCGGGATGTCTGCGGCCACCCCTCTGGGCATGCGTGGTGGGGTTCCTGCGCATGTCCGAAGTCTGGGCGCGAAAATCTGTTAAGAGCTTGCTACAATGCCGATTGATCCAGCACATGCGCACTAGATCCCATGGGTGTGAATGCACAGATGACCACTCGAAGATCACCAGTTACAGGTAAGCAACCTGTTTTTCCCTTCCCCTCCCCACAGCAGACACCCAGTGAGGTAGGTAGGGCTGAGAGAGCTGTCCCAAGAACTGCTCCTGAGAGAACAGCTCTGAAAGAACTTGTAATTGACCCAAGGTCACACCAGCAGCTGCATGTGGAGGAGTGGGGAATCAAACCCGGTACCCACAGATTAGAGTCTGCGCCCCTGACCACTACACCAAACTGGCTCTCTCATCCTGCTCAACAAAGTCTGATGCCTTCCTCCGAGTGAAGCAGCTCTTCCGCCGGTGGAAGAACCATTCAGTTGGCAGAAGTCTCCTTAGACGAGAGGAAGACATTAAATTTTATTGAGGGGAGTGTGTGGATATCACACATATCACACGCTGGGGAAAGCGACAGGAGCAGGGGAGAGAAAGCGGCTTGCAATCCTGTAAGTTCACAGCAGAGCCGAGAGTTGAAGCCAGGAGCTCACGGCCCATTTGTCTTGCCATTGTGCTACTCTGCCCCGACTGTGTCATTACTTACACATTGAGGCAATCATGTTAGCGGTGGCTCTCTGGTGATCAGGGAACCACAAAGCAGCCAGTTTGGTTGGTGCAAACACAATGAGCGGCTGGGCCATGGCACAGAGGCACTGTCCTACGAGCAGGTAGACAATGTTGAGGGAACCTAGGCTCAAGGCGTTGATGACGCTGAGTTCTCGGACAATGCTTCCCACCATGTTCAGCCAGGCACAGAGTATCACCTGTGTGAGAGAAGACAATGTTAAAACTGTCCTTTTAAAGATCAGGGATAGCGACTTGAATGGGATGCAAAAGTTAATGAGACTTCCTGCATTTTCAAGTGTGTAATCCAACATTGGATAGAAGAAAACGAAGAAGAAGAAGAGGAGAATGGATTTATACTCTGCCCTTCACTACCCTAAGGAGTCTCAGAGCGTCTTACAATCTCCTTTCCCTTCCCCTTCCCACAACAGATACCCTGTGAGTTAGGTGGGGCTGAGAGATCTCTTTTGAGGACTGCTCCTGAGAGAACGGTTCTGAAAGAACTTGTGACCAGTGTTCCCTCTAAGCTGAGTTAGTGTGAGCTAGCTCACAGTTTTTTAGCCTCCAGCTCACAGATTTTTGTCTTAGCTCAGAAAGGATGGCTCCAGAGCAAACTAATTTATGCAGCAGCCAAATCGCTTGCTCACAACGTTAATGCCTGTAGCTCACAAAGTAGAATCTAGGCCTCAGGGCAGCTTATGTCGAAGGCAAATACAATATATAAGAAAATTAAAACAACATTAAAACAAGTTAAAAGAATCCATGAGGAAAACAATACTGCGTTCCAAGATGATGGTTAATTTTGGTGTCCGCCTGGAGGGGAAATAGGGAGAGTGCTCCCACTAAGCTGTGGAGTCTTGTGAGCAAAAATTCTAACTTTGTGAGCAACTGGCATTAAAGTTGCGAGCGAGTGATTTGGCTGCTGCATGAATTGGTTTGCCCTGGAGCCACCCTTCCTGAGCCGAGACAAAAAATGTGTGAGCCAGAGGCTAAAAAACTTTCAGCTGGCTCACACTAACTCAGCTTAGAGGGAACGCTGGAGGTGGGAGTGTGAGAGTGCCAGACGGTTGCCGTCCTCAACCAAATGCCTGGTGGGACATCTCTGCCTTGCAAGCCATACAAAAAAGTTAGTAAATCCTGTAGGGCACAGCTGTTCTCTGGCAGAGTTCCACCAGGCGGGGGCCAAGGCCTTTTCGGCTGGTATGTTGCCTTCACAGGGGAACCTGCATATTTTGCATGTCTGTACAAGCTATGGCAAATCCAGTGGTCAGTCTGTGTACGCCAAAGCCAGAGCGAGTTGGGTGTAGTGGTTAGGGGCGCGGACTATAATCTGGGAGAACTGGGTTTGATTCCCCACGCCTCCACGTGCAGCTGCTGGTGTGACCTTGGGTCAGTCACAAGCAATGCTCCCTCTAAGCTGTGGAGTCTTGTGAGCAAAAATTCTACTTTGTGAGCTACTGGCATTAAAGTTGTGAGTGAGCGATTTTGGCTGCTGCATAAATTAGTTTGCTCTGATTGTTTGATTGGTCCATCAACGTCGGTATTGTCTATACTGACTGGCAGCGGCTCTTCAGGAGTCTCGGACGGAGGTCTTTCCCACTGCCTGCTGACCGGTCCTTTAAACTGGAGATGCCTGCATGCCAAGCAGGTGCTCTACAGTGGATACAGCAGGTGAGCTACAGTGGATACTAAGGCCTGGGATACTAAACCCTAGACTCTGACGTTGATGGACCAATGGTCTGATTCAGTGTAGAGAAGCTTCACAAATTCATGAATTCCAGAATGTTTGGGACTGTGTGCCGAACAGCACGTACCAAGGAATCATCTAGCATGGGAGGACCAGATCATGTAATGAGCTGAATTAGATGGAAGGACAGACTCCTGCTTTCCAAAAGTTGTAGTAGCCCTGTGCATATCATGGGCACCAGCTTGATCACTATTCAAAACTGCTATGGGGAAATGTGCAAATACTATGGGTATTTTTCACAGAAGTCCTCTTAGTTGGTTTAATGCTGCCTCGTTCAGAGGTGCCACACCCTTTGTATGTTAGGGGTAACCCTATAAGGCAGCAATATTCAAACTCTGTACCTTTGGGGAGCACTCTCTTTGTTGAGTCTTCCACCAAGGAACCTTGCTGCACTGCAACGGATTCTTAAGTAGCGTTCTGCAATGTGTGCTCAGTTTATTCGAAGTACCGGCCAGGCATTTCTGTCGTTCTATCTGTCCGCACTTTTGCCTCACGCCTAAGGCTCTGCCATGGCTGCGTTTTGCAAGAATTATCAGTAAGTTGGGCCAGCTGTCTTTTTGGGAAACCTACTGGCCCTCCCTTGATTTCAAACTGAGGAACCCCTACATGTGGTTTCTCCCATCCAGCAATTTTATCCTCGTAACCACCTTGCAAGGTAGATCAGTCCAAGGCAGGGGTAGGCAACAATTTTGGCCCAAGTGCTGGGGGGGGGGAATACACTGCCTGTGAAGATCTTGGTGTGTGGGCAAACAAAATGGAAGAGGGAAAAGAGGAGGGTTGTACTTGGCCACACGACCAGCATTTCAGCAATTGGCCATGGACTCAGCTGGTGGCTGTGCAGGTCTAGGAAGCGATGATGGATATAGAATCATAGAATCAAAGAGTTGGGAGGGGCCATACAGGACATCGAGTCCAGCCCCCTGCTCAGTGCAGGAGCAGCCCAGAGCATCCCTGACAAGTGTTTGTCCAGCCGCTGCTTGAAGACTGCCAGTGAGGGGGAGCTCACCACCTCCCTAGGCAGCCGATTCCACTGTTGCACAACTCTTCCTGCAAAAAAGTTTTCCAGCCGCTACCTTCCCACCCTTAATTTAAACCCATTATCGTGAGTCCTATCCTCTACTGCCAACGGAACAGCTCCCTGCTCTCCTCTAAGTGACAGCCCTTCAAATACTTCAAGGGAGCCATCATGTCTCCACCTCGACCTCCTCTTCTCCAGACTAAACATTCCCAAGTCCCTCAGCCTTTCCTCACAGGGCTTGGTCTCCAGGCCCCCGATCATCCTCGTTGCTCTCCGTTGCACTGCTACATTCTGTCCACATCCTTTTTGAAGTAAGGCCTCCAGAACTGCACACAGAACTCCAGGTGCAGCCTGACCAATGCGTGTACAGCAGGACTCTGATAGCTTGCAATCTGGATGTTACGCCTCTGTTGAAACACCCCAAGATCACATTAGCCTTTTTTTGTCGCCACATCATAAGCTAGGCCTGTTGCCTTTCCCCACATTCCTGGCGCCAGCAGTGCTGCCAGTGCCTCAGCTGCTTGTCCAAGACCTGGCCCTGGGTGCCAAGCAAAACGGTCTGGGGTGCCGCTATCAGCACATGTATTGGGGGGTCACCTTCCCCAGGTCTAATGTGTAGTGAATGGACCAAGAGCAGCTTCCTGGTGTGATGCCAATATGAACTTGGGGCTCCATGGGCGCTAGCCCCGAACTCAATCTGCTATACCACCCGGAGTTCTTTGGCAAGGAGCCTCTAGATTCGGTGGGACACACTTGGGAAATGCAGGAGTCAGTCTATCAGTTCCAGTCTTTGTTTCAACTTACCACACACTTAAGTCCAAGGGTGTCCAGCATCCATATGGCTACCAGCCCAAACGGAACGGATATCACCAGGTAAACGAGAGAGAGCCAGTTGACCGTGTCCAGTGAAACGCGGAAGTGTTCGGCTGTCTTATCAGCCACCGGAGCAAATGACAACCAGAGCTGCAGAGGGGTTGGAAAAAGAGAGTGATTTTTTCCCCCCTTTTAGCATAATAAAATAACAATCCAGGTAGAACTTGCAGCTGGCAAATTTGAGACTCCCTTACTAATGACTGCTTTTAACCAAAGCTTGTAATTAGCTACTTGCCCTGTCTTCTATGCCATACAAGGCTCACTTCCGGGTGACTTCCAAGACCTTTAAGGAAGTCGGTGATTTATTTTGCTCAGCTACAATTGGCATGAGTAAGTAAGAGGGCTAGTAACCGCATTTGCGGGTCAGTCACTTTGGACAGCCTGAGCTAGATTGATCTTGTCAGATCTCAGACGCTAAGAAAAGTTATAGACTCCCAGCAAGAGAGGAAATAGTATCCAAGCTGATGGAACTAGCAGAAATGGATAAGCTAACTATTAGCCTCCAAGGGAAAGATGGAAGTGTGTTTAAGAAAAGATGGGGAAGAGTATATAAATGGATGCATGAAATATGGGAAAATTCAGATCTAAATTTATAAATGTATAAATGAATGAATCTATGTAAGCTTTGATAAGACTCAAGTTATTTGAAGGAAGAATGGTTGTAAATAATTTGGAAAATGATAAATAAATATTATATAAAAAAAAATCTCAGAAGCTAAGCAGGGTCGGTCCTGGTTAGTATTTGGATGGGAAACCACCAAAGAATAGCTGGGTCATTATGCAGAGGCAGGCAATGGTAAACCACCTCTGAATGTCTCCACTAGGGGTCGCCATACATTGGCTGCGACTTGACGGCACTTTCCACTTTTCCAACTTCTGTAACGGTCTACTGACAAGGGAAGAGTTTAGAATGGTCCGTTTATAAAATGCTTGCTTATGGAATACATGTCCCACCTTTCCGTTAGCTAGACAAATGAATTAGATTCATTCTATGCAAACCAACTTTGACAGATCCGGAACCCACCTTTAACCCCCTAGGAGGAATGTGTGTGAAAGACAGCCATATAAACACTGTGGTCTGTGATATCAAAATCATGCCCCAGGAAGAGGGGGAGAACCAGAATTATGACCCCACTGGTGTCAAGACCAGGACTGTGGGCAGCAGACGGAGGCAGCTGGGGACCAGAAATGCAAGCCAAGCACCACAAGCTGGGCCACATGAAGAACGAGCCAAGGATCAGAGCTATAGAGGAATCTTCACCAGTGCCTTTGCCTCGGCATCCTGCTGCTTCTTCCAGCGCAGATGCAAAGTGTGGCGCTCCATCCAAGAACCAGCCCCCCATCCCCCCCCGCAACAAAGAGGAAGATCTACAGGGGCTCATGACCCACCAGTGTGTCCCAACCCACAGGCTGCAACGGAACAGTAAGGAATGGGTCCTCCCTCTGCTTTGGGAAGTGGATTTAGCCCAGTTGCTACCAACCAAATTGGCAAGCGGAGGTGGTTCCAGGTTCTTTCTGTGTGCTCTGGCAGTTTGAAGTTTGTGCCAGCGGCAGGGATTGCAAATTGGAGGTGGTCTATAACCTGCCCCTTTGTTTCCCACCGGCTTGGGGTGCAACCTGACAGCAGGTTGCTGCAATGCAGCCAGAGCTGCTTCTCAAAATCTTCTAGAGGGCGCAATACGAAACATGTTCAGAACCTTCCACAGCTCTGATCCTTGGCTTGTTCTTGCATTTCTAGTCCCCATCCTTTGGCACAGTGTCAAAAAAAAAATATTTTTACCAGAACGGAAGCTGACTCAAAGCACTAATTAGGAACAGACTACAAATCCAGGAAAACATTTTAACACACCTAGCTGGCACACGTTCCCCTTAGAATTCTGATCCTGGGCCACGAACACATGCTCAGATTGGCACATAAGACATTAAGAAAGATCTCTAGCAGCAAAGACTAGTTTAAAGTAAATATTGTTCTCTAGGAAGTATTCTGGCTCCAGTCACCAAGAGGGATATCGAAGTCTGAATATTTCCTGATAATCCTGAGCTATAAAAGTTCATGCAGGTGTGGCCCAAGATACCCTGGTTACCAGAAGACTTTGAAAGCAGGACTCTGGTAAATCTCTCCCTCAGAAACCATGGACAAAATGTATCCCCAAGCAGTCAGAAGTATTTTCTGATCACACAGAGAGCTGATAGGCAAGCAGACTACCAAGCCCTGAAAAGTCTGGAAAGGGAATATTTTTATATATATATATTTATTGAGTATATGATTCATATTTCATAAAAATGATTCATATCCTTATACATTATACTCCTTTTCATGCACAAGGGGAAAAAAGCAAAAATGAGGTTACAATCCAAACTATATAATTAACAAATTAAACTTAATCCCAGTCCTGTTTGTAACTTCTTTTCCTATTCCCTTATCCTTCCCACATATGAAAGGGAATATTTTTAAATGTAAATGGCCCAGACATGGATGGAAAGATAAAAGAAAACTGTGCAAAAAGACACTAAGGAAAAATATGGAACAATTTACTAATGAGTAACACAAGCAGAGGTCATTTCAGGGGGGAACGCGGGGGAACGCAATTCCCCCGGGTGAGGTGCAGGGGACGGGGAACATGACGAAGCCCCACCCCCTGCTTCCGGCCGCCCCGCTTCTGGCCCTCATTCAGCCAGGAGGAGGCAGGAGAAGAGGGAGGGTAAGTTGCTTCCTCCCCGCCTCTCCCCACCCCTGCCTGCCTGGGGCCAGGGAGGGCCTTCGCGGGGCTTCCTTGCACTCCCGCCGGCCTTGCAGGTCCACCGCCGGGCCCCTGATGTCAGGGGATGTGGCATATGCTAATGAGTTATGCTAATGAGTTCCCCCAGCTCTTTTTCTACGAAATGACCCCTGAACACAAGTATAACTGATAATAATACAACTAGGAATACCACTAAAGTAGTATTTACAAAAAATTCAAATGGGAAATCCTAACTTTTTTTTTCAGAAGTCCAACAGGTAAGTTATCAACAATCCAACAGGTAAGTCTAAAATTTCTCAATAATACAACAGATGCAGTGTTTACAAGAATCCCACAGGTGAAACCAATATTTATACAGGTAAGTTTTCAACAGTCCAACTGGTAAGTAGACAATATATCCAACAGGTAAGTCTACATTGGATGATGAAGACTCCGGATTTCATAACTTCATTTCGAATAGTCTTCCTCAGTAGAGGCTGATTAAAGGTAAAGGTTCCCTTGCTCGAAAGCCAGTCGAATCCGACTCTAGGGTTGCGGTGCTCATCTCCGTTTCAAAGCCGAAGAGCCAGTGCTGTCCGAAGACGTTTCCGTGGTCATGTGGCCGGCATGACTAAACACCCAGGCGCACGGAACGCCGTTACCTTCCCACCGAAGCGGTACCTATTTATCTACTTGCAATTTCTTGCTTTCGAACTGCTAGGTTGGCAGGAGCTGGAACTAGAGACGGGAGCTCACTCCGTCATGCGGCACACTCGGGTCTCAATCTGCTGAACTACCGACCTTCCACAGCCTGCAGTTCAGCGTCTTAACCACTTGAGCCACCGCAGCTCCTAGAGGCTGATTAGGGAACTCTTAAAGGACTCATCAGTGTTTCCAAGGTAAACAACAGCAGCAGAACAGCTTTCCAGTTTATCAGGAGAAATATATTAACAGGGCAGCCAGTCAATATTCAATGAGGAAAAACCTTCAAAGTCTTATGTTGCTGGTATGCCTCAGTCTTTTTGCACAGCGTCTTTTTGCATAGTTTTCTTTGATCTTTTCACGTTTACTGTGTAATCACTGATTGCTTACTGTATCTAGACAACGATGGCCCAGGCTAGCCCGATCTCTTCAGATCTCGGAAGCTAAGCAGGGTCTGTGCTGGTCAGTATTTGGATGGGAGACCACCGAGGAAGTCCAGGGTCACGATGCAGAGGCCGGCCATGGCAAACCACCTTTGTGCCTGAAAGCCCTACGAGGGGGCGCCATATGTTAGCTGCCACTTGACAAGCACTTTCCACCCCCACAATGGTCAAACACTGAAAATCACTGTGTAAATTAGCAGAGCCGGTTTTATAGTCCCTGGGTGAATGTGTAATTGCCCCCCCCTCCCACTTGAGTCCCTGTTGGGAAGAAAGACAAGGTACAAACGAGGTAAAAGGTAAAGCTTCCCTTGCTTGAAAGCCAGTCGAATCTGACTCTAGCGTTGCGGTGCTCATCTCCGTTTCCAAGTCAAAGAGCCAGCGCTGTCCGAAGACGTTTCCGTGGTCATGTGGCCGGCATGACTAAACACCAAGGCACACAGAATGCTGTTACCTTCCCACCGAAGTGGTACCTATTTATCTACTTGCCATTTCTTGCTTTTGAACTGCTAGGTTGGCAGGAGCTGGAACTAGAGACGGGAGCTCACTTCGTCATGCGGCACCCGGGTCTCGAACTGCTGAACTATCAACCTTCCACAGCCTGCAGTTCAGCGTCTTAACTACTTGAGCCACCGCAGCTCCTCACAAACGAGGTAAATATCTCAAAAGAGCCTTGAGAAAATGGTTAGAAAAAATTATAGTGACTCGATCAAGATTACATAGTGAGCCTAGATTAAGGCTGAGCGAATAAGGGCAAGTGCTGTAGGTAAACCAGTGCAAAGGCTGGTAATTACTAGACAGTGTTTTGCTAAGACACGGAGAAGAATGTGATTGCTTGGTGTTTTGTTCCCACTCAAAATCTAAAAACTGGATCTCGTGGGCCACACTAGTTCATTAAAAAGAATTGAACAAAAGCAACAGAAAATGTCCAATTTATTAGGACAGAAAGTCACAGCTAGATTTCAAATTTTGTTTTAAAAATTAATTCCCTCAAGGTTTTGATCACCGATCTGCAATTTAAAATTACCTCAGAATGTATAATGTATACATGTATAAATAAATGTAACCTCAGGTTTTGGTAATCCTAAAAAGCACAGGGTGTCAGAAGATGAGTCTTTCTTTGTGTACAAATCTTGGAGCTTAACCCAAGTATCACTGAAGCATCTCAGCTCTGTATCGGCTTTTTCACTGTCAAAGGTATAGCCAGAGGTACCTGAGTTCCTGGTCT